TATATATATATATATACCCAGCTTACTGTACAATTATAAAACATGATGAATTATTTGCTTTTTAAAATTTTATATTAATATTAATCTTTTAAAAACTTACACTTATTTTATCCGATTAAACTAATTAACGCTGTTTCTCGAAACTCTGTCTCCAAGGAAAGTAAAAAAGCCATAGTTAAAGTGCCTTACGCTTGAAGCAATGCGATGATTTTAAACTATGAAGCCGTGAAGAATTATTTGCCTTTAGAACAGACAAATAACTAGTTCATAAGTTATTGAACTTTTTAAAAAATCACCAATTTGGAGACATTTTCCCACCTAAATGAAAATTATCAAAACCACTGCCTTATTCTCAGTTTTTGATAATTTTTATGAGCACAGCTAATGCAACATTGGAGTAAGTTTATAAATACTAAAAAGATCACAAATTCTTTTCATTTTCACAAAATTGTGAAAATGTGGCTTTTCTCTATATTGACGTTTTGTGCCATTTTCAAAATAGAGCGTAGATAGCGCTGGCTTTAAATAGTCTTAACTTGACCAACAGTGATAAGTAACAGTTGCTAACTCACAGCAGTTATAAAAAGAAGTCTATTGTTCGCAAAAAAGCATTATTTCATATTACGACTGAGTCTTCGAAATACAGACTTAAAAAAACTTTTGGTTCAACATTTTTATTTGGCAAATACGAAATAAAGTTTGAATTTTAATTGCAATTAATTAAAAAGTAAATCGTTAAATGACTTTTAAGTTTCTACACGCACGGAAACTTTCTGTTCATGAAGCTTTTAGGACATCATTTGTTTATTCATTGCATTAGTTAAAAAAAAAAAGTATAGCAACTAAAAAAAAACAATAAACACGAAATTTCAGTTGAAATATAATTATTTTATGAACTTTCTAACGTTTATTTCATGTAATGGTATAAATGTTGTATTAGCAAAGGAAAAAAAACGTGGCTAGAAAAAAAGGATAAAAAAAAGAGAGAAAAAAGTTATTTTAAAAAAAATTACAAAAAAGAAAATTCTCCTTAAAAGAAAACTGATGTTTAACAAAATTGTACAAAATTACCAATTTTTAACACTCGGAACCGAATTTTACCATATTTGTATTCCATTAAGAAATTATCCATTAGTATTGAAACTCATTTCTTCAAATTTCTTAACAACCTATTTTATAACATTAATAATTCATTATTAATGTTATAATTCCCTAAATTTCACTTACCTGCAAGTAAAAGAAGTTTTGCAAGCAGCATAATGTTTATATTCTGTAATTTGTGAAACTGTTTTAAAAGAAAAATTCAAACCTCTTTTCACTTATCTTAAAAGTAATAAATAGATTAGCTCTTTTCGTTGGAGAAGGGGATAAATTATTGCTTATCATGTGTTTTACAGTAAATACGAGTTTTGCGGAATTGAATCATCATATTTAACTGTTCCTGTATTCTGAATATTTTTAAATCGAAACTTATCCATAATGCTGTGCAATAGAAAAATTTCTGTCAGTCAAAAAGAAAAAAATAATTAGATTTTTATATATTTGGAATTTTTGTATAAGCTACTTGTGGCAAAAAAGATAAAAAATAAATAAAATAAAAAATACATTTTGCATTATCAGTTTCTTGAAATTCTATTTTAGCGTTTAAAGTTTCTTTAATATTTTCTACTGCTCTCGTGACTTTGACCCAGTAATGCCCAAACACAAAATGATTTATATATGATGAAAAACACCTATAGGAAAAAAGTAGTAAATATTTCCCTTTCTTACCTCCCACTTAAGTTTTAAAAAAGTACAGCCCGTTGATTGAAGATCAAACTAAAAATATTTACATTCTAAATAAATTATGGTAGATCAAACTACCTAGTTTCTGTAAAATAAATATTAAGAATGACATTCTGTGCTACCACTTTTTTTTCCTCTTTTAAAAAAAAAGAAAAAAGAATTGCCCTTGTAAAAAGTCGCTATATTGTGCCCTCCATCTTATTCTCTACAGCTAAAGTTATGTTTAGGCGTAAATATAATTTAATACACACAGATATATTACGCCGATTTTTGCTCTGAAATGGCTCATTTAATAAGCACGCATAAAGAGTATAAGAAAATACTCCATTTTTTCACAATTTTAAAGGTGGACAAAGAAACTGTTTATATAGAATTAAAAGTTCCGCAATGCAAATTTGTGAAATTATATTTTTAAGAGTTTATTATATTTTTAGACACTTTTTCAAGAACTTAAAAACGAATTTTTTTACTCCCATTTTCTGAAAATTTTAACTCATTAGGCACATCTTGTAAAATTTATTTTGGGATGAAATTCGGTATATTAGCAATATACCCCTTAAAATAGTAAAGCGTACTAGACTGCTAGTTAAAAGAAAAACGCATTCGAAAATTTATGCACAATTCATATACTAATTATTTCTTCCAAGGCAGGATACGTAACTAAGGAACGTTTAGTGTTCGATTAACAGAGCAGGGGTGATTGTGAGCCCAAGTCAAAATTCCGAAAAAATTTCACAAAAAAAAAAAACCGTTTCAATTGAAAAATTAAAAAAAAATTTAAACAAGTTTTTTCCCCCCTTTCTCAGTATTTCTTAGTTTGATTAAAATATATTTAAAATTTTACGCATACCTATACCATTTACACATACCTATGATGACCTGGAGAAGTAATTAATATTTACAAATATGTCTTTCTTTCTTGAGTTTATGATTATAACAACTATTTACTGATTAAAAANGAAAGGAGATAATTTCTGTAACCACACAGCGTTGATGCCATAAGCAAGTGCTTGTCGGACACAGGTCGAGTCAGCCCTGCCAGTAGACAAGACGTGCCATTTCTATTATGAATATATTATTACACTTTGAATTAGACTATTAGTGTTCCTTTTTATTTATGAATTAACATTTATTATATTACACTGGCACTAAAATTAAAATATATTTTCCAGAAACCAATTATAATAAAAATTATCCAGCAATTTTTTGTTTTGCGGACCATTTGGCGCCCCTTTGTGAGTAGCGCCCGGGGCATGATGACCCCCCTTGCCCACCCCTCACTACGCCACTGAACCTTCGATCTCCGGAAACTTCAGGATCACTGTTAGCAAAAATTCCGGAAATCCGGATTTTTTTCCGGAGCACAATCAGCCCTGACAGAGTCACTCTCAGAATTGGCTGGCCAATGCGCTTTATGATTTTTAAGGGTTGACCTATGTACCTAGTTTCATCCCAGTGCATTTCCCGAATCGTATCCTCTCCTTGTCAGAGATCAAGTTTGAGGCAGGCACCATTTATCTGACGAACAAGAGAAGAAATTCGTAAAATTAAAAGTTATGGTAAAGTTAACTTTTTTAGTATCCATTGTATAATTACATACATGATTATATCAAGATAACACTTATTTATTACAGCCATTTTTAGAAAAGTTAACTCAAAATCTAAGAGTAAAGCACGATTTCAAAAACCGACAAAAGAAGGGATTATTTATATCTTAAAAATAAAAGTTCCACGATGTAGAATTTAAAATAAATTACTGAAGTCTATTATTATAAGATATATTTTTCAAAAGCGTAAAAACTTAATTTCGACTTCTATTTTTAGAAAACTTTAAAGAGTATAGTTCCATTTTAATAACACAAATATAAACAGTTAATTTCATAAAATTGTGTGTCTTGCCACGCAAATTTGTCCCACATCTGTTTCATAAGAAATCTTCCATTTACAGAAGCCGTAGACAATTATTCTTTCTTTCTAGGCTTTATTAGAACGTCGACAGGTTTGATCCAGGCAAGTGTGTGAAGAGAAGGCTCTTTTTTCAGAAGAAAATAAGAAGTCGTTAACTTTTAGCTCTCTAATCTAGTAACAATAATAGCTTTAGTTCGCTTTTACTAGCATTAGGAAATCAAAAAATATAAGAGATTTTAGTTTATTTAAAACTAACCTAATTCACATTAAATTTAAATCGTTTCTAAGTTCACTAAATTTAATAAAACTTGATTGAGATTTATTGAATCTTATTGTGTATTAATGCAATGAAACACTGAAAAAATACGTTCATTTATTTTATTTTTTAAATCAAGTAACTATTGGCAAGTGTAATCAGCTGCTTATCTGAATCAAAACCACCAGGTATGGATATGATCACATTAAATGACGGGCATTGTTTATTAAAACTTTTAATATCTCGTTTTTGCAGTAAGAACAATTGCTTTTTAAACAAATTTAACGTCTTTTTTTTTTTGAATTTCAGTATCTGTAACTATCAGTCATATTTCATGAAAGATTGAAAACACACACAACAAATAATTTCAACAAAAACCGAAGACTTTATTTTTTTCAACACAGTTTTCATTACTTCTTATTTCTTTCCATATTTGTAGATGATCAAAATATGCAATGCATTGAACACATATATATATGTCTGAACCAACGAAAGCCAAAAAATGTTGGAATCATTTGAGTAAACTGATTTCAGTCAAAACAAATTAATAACTGAACATGTATATAATAGAGAAAATTGGCTCAAATTTTGAGTGTAATCGTTATTGCAAATTTGTTCCAAAACATAGTACAGAGTTCAAACTAAGGGATTCCATAATCACTGCCTAAAATCCTTACTAGGAATGAAGTATTCAAAAAGCATACACAAATTAATATTTAAGGGAGCTTCTTTTGGATAATTAAAAAATTGGCTTCATTTTTGCTTATTTCAGTGTTTTTAATTTGTTGTTTTACAGTAACTTTTAAAAATTTACAAAGATTGGCTTTAAACATTAATTATTATTATAAATTTCTACTTTACACCATTTTGAGACCAAAATTTAAAGCCTATTATAAGGGAGACAGTTTAATAATAATAATAAAGTCTTAAATCAGACTTGCAGCTTAAAAAATGCTACAATTCAAAACTTGAGCCCTAAACCATATATATACAATAATGCACTTATTATGACAATTGTTTGCACAAAATCTTTAGCTAAAAAATAACCCCTTCAGTCACTTTGTTTATATTATCTATGAAAAAATTTCGATGCTTAATGAGTATATCTCTATTACTCCATCTTTCAAGTCTAAATTATACAGAACCTTTAGTAATCAGAAAAATAAGAACTAGAAGAAAAACAAATCAAGCATTCCTGTCATTATTGGCCTACAATTGCGACATAGGATAATACAGTTAAGCAGTTTTAAATTAAATTGATTTAATAAAGAAAAGATTTAAAAAATGACACTTAGATACAGAATTTTAATATTGCAATATAATCACTAACAAAACTTATCAATTAAATTTATAGAGATATAAAAACGTGTACATTCAAAACTGTTGAAAAAAAATCATGTGCAACTACCAAAGCTATAATTTTTAAAACAGAAATTAGTATCACAGTAATTAAAAATATAACTAATTCTATCCTTATGGTAGAATGAATAAGCTTAAATATGTAAATTAATTGATACTAATTTTTATATCAGTAACAAATTCAGTTCCAAAAAGATGCTTTCATTTGAATAGATGTGCCTCTTTTTTTAGGGATTTGAATTTTTGACCTTCAAGATAGGGGAGCGAATTGAAAGACAATACTTGTAGTTTAGCTAAAATGGCAGTCATATGTTAAAACTCATTATTACTTTTTTTAAGCACTTGCGTACAATAAAATTATTACACAGAATTATAAAACATATTTACCTAAAATTTATTTCCTGTAAAAGTATCATTTTCAATAATTTGATTTAAATTGTTAATTTTCTTGACAAATTTTGACCATAGCAGAATTCTACATTCTCTGCCTCACCTGACATGCAAAAAGCTTGTGAACCTAAACCATGATCAAAAATCTTTTTTCAACACTATAAAGCAGGGATCTTTAATGTGTGGGAAGAAAAACTTTTTTGTAGGAAATGTAAAATAAATTGAAAGAACTTCACAGTCATACCTGCGGTAGAAAAAAAAAATAGGAAGAAGAGAGAAACTTTTTTTATCAGACTGGAGACATCCTTGAATCAGACTAGGAAAAGAGAGGGAAGAAATTAATGAAGTAAAATTTGGTCAAAAGTTACTATTAGTAGACGAAGAAACATGTGGATATAAATACAATGATTGTTTGACGATAAAGAGCTTGTGCATTAATAAAGCTAGGTTTACTAATATTTCCTTCAGTTTCTGAATTCGAAAGTGTTTGGTTTTTGAACGAGTACACACTGGCTAGTCATGATAATAAAAAAGAGAAAAGTTGAAGAAAAAATGAGATTTTTAAAAGAAAAGTGGACATCTGTTTACTTTTCTGTAAGCATAGAGGTAGGGCAGTTTACCTTATTTGCAACGCGAGTGTTGCAGTGATGAAAGAGTATAACATTACAAAACTTTACTTAACTAAGCACAGAGGTAAATATTCTGCATCGGAAAATTCAGTAAACTAAAATCAAAACTAAATAGCCAGCAGTAATTTTTCTTCAGAGTAATTAGAGAATCTGAAAATAGTGTTCGCGTAAGCTACATAATAACAGAAAAAATTTCTAACCAGGGAAAACCCTCTATAGACAGAGAGTTTGTAAAAGAATGTCTTCACTGTGCAGTTGATGTGCTTCATCTATCCCTGAATCAAGCCATTTTGAACTTAAGCTTGCCTTGTGTGACAGTAGCAAGACAAATGGAAGATCTGGTGGTGGCAGATATATTCAGTTAGTTAAAATCGAAATGCAAAGACTTTGCGTTTCATTCTGTATCGATGCATGAATTAACAGATGCAATGGATATAGCACAAGTAGCAATTTTTATTGGTGGTATTGCTGAAAGCTTCTTAATTGTAGAGGAATGAGCTAGTGTTATTGCACTTTGGGGATCAGATTTTTATTCAAGTTTGTCAGAAGCTTAGGCCAAATATCAGCGAAACTTGTATAAAATATCTGCCATAAGCACACATGATGCTCCTTATATGACTGGACGGAAGACAGGAGCCATTACTCAAATCTGATGTGATGGCATGTGGAAATAAGGCTATGATGATTTTTCACTGTATCATCCACCAAGGAAATTTGTGCAAGATGCCTTTCTCAAACTTTGAGCATTTGATAACTGATGCTGTAAAAGTAGCTAATTTTAGATGGTCTGAAGGCCTTAATCTCAGGCAATTTCAACAGCTCTTGAGCGATTTAGAAGCTGAACATATTGAGGTTGTGTATCACACTGAAGTATGTTAGTTGAGTCGAGGGAAGACACTTCTGTGCCTATTTTCATTGAAGGTTAAAGTTCAGTTATTCATGAAATCCAAACAAAATTTCAATTATGTGAAGCAGTTAAGAGATTTTGCATTCCTTGCTGATATTACAGGTCATCTCACTGATCCAAACTACAGTTGACTGAAGAAAGCCAGACTTATTCATAATCTTTATGAGTTTGTGAAATAATTATTGCTATTAGAAAAAATTTCAATTCACTTTTGCAAATTGAGGCATTGAAAAAATGCAACATGGAACACAGACAATTATGTACAGTGCATTTCAAATCTGGAAGAGTTCAAAATCAGATTTTCTGACTTCCCCTTTAAGGACATTTTCATGAATATATTCTCATCATTCTTGGTAAGCATTAATAGTGTTCTGCCTGAACTTTAATTAGAATTTGTAGATTTGCAATGTGGCTGTGCAATAAAATGACTCTTGAAATTCTTTCATTAATTGAATTTTATTCAAAGTATGTGTCCAAACACAAGTATCTAGAAATAATTTATTAAACATGCACTGCTCATGTCTTCTATTTCTGAAAGTATCCTCATATGTGAATAGTTGTTTAGTCAAATGAAAAACATTAAGTCAAAAACAAGAACGCATCTTACAGATCAGCATTAGGAAGATATTTTACAAATCTTGATATAGAATCTTTGATAAAACAAAAATACAACAACCAATTTTCTCATCAAAAATAAAAAGACTTCCGACTTTCATTGAATTTAATTTTTTAACAATTAAAAAATCTATAACCTCCTCTCATAAAAATAATTGCAATGTTGTAGCTGTTTAATTTGTGTCAAAGCTAGTTGATAAATGTTAGTGGTTTACTGATCTTTATGACTTTATTGATCTTAGACTTACCAGGTTGAAGTCTAATAATTTTTATGTAATGTTAAATTGCCTAATTTCAAAAACTTCACTTTGAAATCTAAAAAAAAAATTTGAAATAATTTTAAAAAAACAACACTTAATTAATAAATAATAATTTTTAAAATTATTGCCTCTGGAGCTATAGGTCCAGTAGTTTAATTCATGTTTAAAAAATGCATTTTTGGTATTAATAACTACATAATAATAATAATGTACAAAACATGATGTAAATTATGCGTTTGAAAATACATATTCAATCACTGGTAAAAATTTGATAATTGCATCAAAAGTTAATAAGTTCTTTTTTTTTTCTTTCTTTGATTGTACCTTACAAATGAATGCAATAGTATTTGTACATAGTGAATGCAGGGGTTAAAAATATTTAAGTAGTTAAGATATATGAAAACAGTCAAAATATTTTAAATAATGGTTCAAAATTTTAAATAATTAGTAACAAATGAAAAATATGCTGTTAACAGCCATAATCAACATTAACACCACTAACTGACACGCTTAACATTACTACTTACTATTACGCAATCACTAGAAAACAATAGATTTCTTTTAACTTTTTCTACATTCTACACACATCACATAAATAACTATAAATAAACTATAGCAATTATTATTTATAGTTAAAAACCAGTTATGCAGAAACATAAGACTGGAATCATTTTTCATCTCAAATTTCTTAAAACTGCATTAGAGTGCTGTCATAATTAATTAACAAATGCTTCTTACCAAAGAAAATAAAATTAGAATTATAGAATGCTATTAGAAAGCAATAAATAAGGAAATTATGCATCACATCGTTTGAAATATAAGATCAATTAACACAATCTATACATAAGAAAAATCAGAAAGGAGTCAAATAAATAAAAAATATATTTCATATAATTTTTCAGTTTCAGTTCATACAGTTTTCATATAATTTATTCTAATTTTTTGATACTGTTGTCTTTTAATTAAACAGAAACTTATCTTTTGAGTTTCTTTAGCAATTTAAATTAGCAGCATGGATTTTTGATCACTCCAGATTTTAGAATAGTAAATAATAGGCTCTGTACTGATCAAGCAAATGTTTGAATATTGAAAGAATCTTGTTAAGTTCTTAAAATTTTTTAATGAGCATTGAAAGTATTTGAAATAATACTATCATAAAGAAACAATCGGAAAAATTTTAATCAGAAATCTATTCATCTTTTTTTTCAGTAAAATTTTTTTTATTGAAAAATAAAAAACTTCCAATATTATATTCAATACTGATTATGTAAAATATACTTAAATGGACAAAATTTGAAATTAGGATATAAACAAAGATTCAGATTTACATATTACTTTGAATTTGCTTGATTGTTTGCTTGATTTAGTTCTTCTCTAAAATATTTCAGTATCATAAAAATTTACTAAAGTTTTTAATCAAATAATTTTTTAACAAAAAATGTATTAAATAATGGTGATATGAAGCAAATGCAATTGGAAACATTTTAGAATTAAAAAGAAATTAAAGGTGAATTACTCTTTCTCAAAACACGAATAGTATTAAAAGTTTCTGTTTAAAAACAAAACTCTTGTTGAATGCTGATATTACACAATACACAGTAATTCTTGCGATAAAGAAAAAACTTAACAGATTTTAAAAACATTGCTACTGAACCAAAAAAATTGACAAGACAAATACATTATTGAATTGACTAATATTTGCTTTAAAACTTATATCAATAACAATCTTTAAAACTCTCATTATTATCTAAACTAAACAACAATTATCTCTGCAATGCTCAAGAACATATGGTCAGATAAGCGATTTCAGCTAAAAGATATGTACACAAAGTGAATTTTTAAAAATATATGCAATGAGAAGTGTAACAGGGATATTTACAATGCACTAATGATTTTTGTACAAAAAGTCGAATATAAAAATGACTTAATGAGATACATAATGAGAGTAAACAAGTTTAATTTAATCTGGAGGCAAAAAACTGGAAAGGTGGTATTTTCGTCGAATGTGGGGTCGAACGTCTTCATTCTAAAACACAATGAAAAAAATTTTAGACACAGGATTTTTATAACAGGGTGGTTCATAAAAGATGTCCCACTTATATTCAATATTTTTAATCTCTCTTTTCTTTGTTGCAAAGTGCCACACTTCACTATGCCAAAAACCTTCTTGTTATGTATCACACTATTTTACTATAAAGATATAACACTAGCAGTTCTGAAACAAAACACACATTTTGTTTTAGAACTGATAGTATTTAAAACATAGATCATATTTCAAAGATTTTAATAATAACAAGCATAACACATTTCGTTTGTTAAAAACCAGGTTTGCAAGTTTCTCCCTTGTAGAAAAAACTGGAAAATACCATCAGGTTTCAAACATAAAAATTGAAGGGGGGGGGGTGGAGTTAGCTTTCAAAGAGAAAATTTTAAAAACAATAGATGTTCTTCTAAATTAGATCTAAATCTTTAATAAGTGAAGCACACACAAAAATAAATGTATATGTTAAGTATTCTAATATGAAATATACATATAAAGGAAATGTACAGCAAAAAAGGACTCATAATTTAGGAAACATTATGGCAAATTAAAACTTACAATTATTATAATACTTTTTAAATAGACTATACTAATTCACTGATAAAAAAATAAAGGCATTAAAATCAAAATTTGTTGATTGAAATCAAATAATTAAAAATGATTTCAGAATTATTAAAATGATTTTTAGAAAAGATATTGATTCAAATCAAATGATTTTTTAAAGAAATCAATTTAGAAACTAACAAAACATTTTTTAATGTAAGACTATTTAAATTACTTATTAGTTTCCAGGTTTTCAAAATTTATTGGGCAGATATTGTTACATATAATATTACATTATTGCTTAGAGTTGAAAAAAAACTACAGCACTTTTGAAATGACATTTAATTAATTTTATAACTTTAACTTTATTAGATTTTCCAAAATCAAATGAAGTTCTAAAAGTACCTATAATGTTAAAAAGAAATTATTACAGTAAGGCAAAAAGCTGTTTAAAGTCAAATTCAGACTTTTTTTTTAATATACTGATTTTTTAAATACATTTTTAATATAATGATTTTTTTTTAAATACATAGTTAAGTTATTCTGGAAATATTTGTCAACCTGCAACTAAGGTAAAGTATACAGCAGCTCAATTTATGTTTCTACCTTAAGAGTTCAAAAAAAGGGTGGTTTATTATTTTTATTTTAGCCTGTTTTTCAGAAGTTAATAATTTTTTTTCTCCATTTTCAAAAAATTACAATCATTCATTTTAAATACATTTCAATGCGGCAAAATAGTTAAGATTGAGTCATGTAATGTCATATTTTTAATAATATTTATAAAATTTTAACTAATTGTAAACTTTAGTTCTTAAAGTATAGTGGAAAAAAATCAGATTTAAATCAAATATATTGGATTTAATTCTAACTTTTATTTGGAGATAAAAATAATGAACTTTGATTAAATCAAGATAAACAGTTCAGAAATCACATTTTAAAACTAAATGGGCTATTATTTTTAAAAGCAAAATTAACTTTAAAACAGAAAAATATCAATTTAGCTCTAGAGTACACATTTTAAAAACCATGCAACTTTTAATAAATTTAACAAAAATCAAATTTTTGTAAAATGGAAAATTTTAATTGAACAATTAAATTTTTTTTATCATCATAATATTAATATAAACTTCAAGCCTTTTCCATAAAAACATGATAATTAGGATTATTGTCAAGGATTGTATGGTGGAGGAAGTAAGCTAAATTTTTCACGAGCACTATTGCATTCAAATAAGAGTCGGTAGTAAAACATATAAATTTTGTTAAATTTTACAAACTTTTTTAATGCAATAAATTTAAAACACAAATAATTCTACATAACAAGCTGTCCAAAATTTGACTAGACAACATACCATAAATGCTAGACTTTCCAAAAATGGAACAAGCTTCATTAATTCATTATCACCTTTGTCCGCAAACCAACTTTCAATAGGTATGCCATTCTCTAGCTATAATATAAAATTATATATGATTAATCAAATATATGCAGAATGCCTTTTAAATGTCACTTACACATTAAAACTTTCAATTATTTGTTGAAAATAAATTCATTATCACATATATAGTGGTGATTGCAGAAAATATTTAAAACTGAAATCCAGAATTTTTTTTAAAAAAAAGTATGTATATAAATAATATATATATATATTCCATAATTTTGTGACTAACTAAATAACAGTGACAACAGGATCAGCACTGTACAGAAATCGTCTTTACTTCCCAGGCAAGCTTGTACTCATTGATCTGAAGCTATGTGGACTTCAAGCCACCACTGAGGATTAAATACTAAGTCTTCATAACTATAGCTCAGTGAACCCCAGGGCTATTACTGCTTATATATTTAATGTGTTTTAAAGGGAATTGGTGTAATCTTAATATTCAATTTTATCTAATGAAATTGGCAATTATGTCAGATATTGCCTTTCAAAAGTGTAAGAGCTTTTATTTTCACAGCCCATTATAGATAATTTCAATTTCATTAAACTCTTTTCACACACACACACGTGTGTGTCTATATATATAACACAATAAAGAGATAAAAAAAAAAGAATAAAAGAAAAGAAAGAGCTTAATAAAGAAAATTATGAAAAATAATAACAAGTCTTATTTACTGTGCATAAGCTGCAAGCATGCAGAACCCATAAAATAAGTTAAAAATACAAAGAGAACATGGAAAAAAATTATAAATTTTTAACAAGAAAAATATTTAAATTTAAAATGCCGGAAAACAAAATAAGGAAAAGATATAATCTCGTTATCAGCTCATACAATTATATCTGCAAAAAAAAAAAAAGGCTTTCTAATATTGTATTATATAGTCAAAACAAAATATATCAATACAATAGTGCGAGGAGCACAAAAAAAAATTGAGGCAAAAATAAAGCATATTAAGTAAAAATACAAAATATCAAGTAAATATAAAATAAAACAGAAACATTCAATAGAGATAGAAAATGAACATTCAAGAGAAATACAGAATAAAACACAAAATCTAACATATATTATGTTACATTTTGTGCTTTAATCTGCATTTTTCATGAATTTTTTTTTTTTTTAATTTTTTGTTTGATATGTTTTATTTTGTACTTTTTGCTTAATATGTTCTATTTTTGGTTCAATTTTTTTTTTTTTTTTTTGCTACTCCTCACACTATTGTGTTGATATATTTTGCTTTGGCTATATTAATACAATATATAGAAATCACTCTTTTTTGCAGATATAATTATGTGAGCTGATGAAAAGGTTATATTTTTTCCTTATTCTGTTTTCTAGCCCTTTAATTTTCTTTTCTCAATATTTTCTTTGTATTCTTACATTATATATATTCATAAAGATAAAGACATAAAAGAAACAAAAAAAATAAAAAATAAGACAAGATTTTTAATGAAAGAATAAAAAAAACAATAACAATTTAAGAAAAAGTTAATTAAAAATGAAAAGCTTTGACATTGAAAAGATAATATCTTGTCAACAGCTCACACGATCATATTCACAAATACAGTGCTTTCTAATATACTATTAACATAGCCAAAGCAAAATATATAGTTACAATAGTGTGAGGAGCACCAAAAAAAATAAAGAGAGAGAAAGACAGCGATATAAAAATTGATTAGCAAATACAACTAAAAATATCATAAAAACCAACAGAAGGTTAAAAATATAACAGAAATAGAAACATATAAAATGAGAAGAGAGAAAGTTGACATGTATTTACTAATAACTTGCAATATTACAAAATATGATATAAAAGCATAAAATGAAGGCAGTGTGATATATTTTTTAGGAACATTCACACTGAAGTTAAGAACCTCATTTAAATTATCTGTTACCTTGGATTGGACCAAAAACAGGATTTGCGCAAGTTAAAATACATTATACTGGATAACTCAAAACTTAAAATTAATAAAAGGTTAAACTTTAAATACAGCCTTTTAATTGAATGAATTTCCTTTTAAAAATTATTAACATTTATAGAACAATATTAATTATTTAAATGAGTTTGTTGGTTACTTATAAAATTTCAAACTATTTACAGTAAAGAACAGATCTAGTTTTGGTATCCATAGATCGCATTTGCACATAGCAAAATTCAAATATTTTTAATAAATTTTCCATTTTCTATAAAATTTTATTTTCCTAAAAGATTTATGGCAGAAAAGGAAATAAAAGAAAACTGGTGAGCTTTAGAATATCATTAATTCAAATATCAATTTTCTTTTCAAAATTCAACTTAGAAATGACTCTCAAATTTCTAAAATAACATTATTCCTGAGACTTAGTGAATAATTACTTGGTAACCAAATGCTTGTGGAGAATTATCAATGATGATTGTTTTAGCCAGATCTCTACCCAAAACAGTAAGATCTTTGATATAATTTCCAGCAATGCAAACACAATGTTCCCTGTACAACCGATACCTAAAAATAAATAAGTAGATAAATAAAAAGTTTCACATTATCAACTTCTAAGATTAAACGTTAGCCTAACAGTTTTAAAAAACTTACTTAATAAGTTTCCGCTTAGGATCCAAAAGATTTAGAAGATGCTGAGCATAAACTTTTTTTGAAGCAGTAAATATTATAATTTCAAACAACTTAGAAACCCTTTCCAAAAATTCAACAATAAAAGGACGGGTCCGAACATAAACCTGTAACAAAAGATTTATATTAAAATTTCTTTAAATATATATCAAATAAAAATATATTCACTTTAAGCAAATGATGGTTAAAATAAATACTCATTTGTTTTAGCCATGCGGTATGAGTGCACAGCTAAACCAAATACAACAGTTTTTTCAGTGACTTGATGTAAATTCTTATATAAGATATTACACTTTCACAATATATCTAAGTAATAAAAAATTAAACGTTTTCTAATCAAGACCATTCTTCTACATAATGGTTTGGCTAGATTTAGTGATATCGCTAGAGAAAAATACAAATAAATACTTTTGGTGCAGTTAGGTAATATTTAAAAACTAACTTTTTTATTTGACATATTTTACCTGGTATTCGCTTTCTTGGAACAAAACAGGAAAAGAGAATGACGCATCTTCTAATTTTTCTAAACTGCAATGAACTAAAGTCTCATCCTATCAAAAAGCAAAATGTTAATTACATTAAATAGCGAACATCAGAAAAGTACACAAGCTTAAATTATCAAAATTTCATTTACTTTTTCTTTTATTTCACCTGGTATAAAGGAGTTATTTGATAAATTATTATTTTTTTTTTTAATAGATTCAAATTTTATGAGAAAAGTGATGTTAAAGAATATTAAGTGATGATAGAAAGAATATGGTTTTCAATGAAAACAGAGCAAGAGGACTTAAATTTAAATTACATGATAGGTGAATGCACGAATGTTTGAAGGGGAAAAAAAATCTATGCATATGAATTTGTAGCACTGAATGTCCATGCCAAAAAAAAAATAATTAAAAAAAATTAAAGTTGCAATAAAAGTTGAAAATTTCCCACATATCTCACATCTAAAAAATCACTAGAGCTGCACAATGGGCTATTGGCGTCCGAAAAATATTAATAGTTCATACTCAAAAACAAGACATTTTTCCATTTCAATTTGCATAATATTTTAGGTTTATTAAAAAAAAAAAATTATGAAATTTATATTTAATAAAAATGTAAATTATATTAAAGACAAAAAATAAACATAATTATACAATATATAATGGTAAACATTAAAAAAATTTAAAAAGGGTTCTCACACAATTTTCATAAAAAAATTAGAAGACAATCAAAATTCTCAAGGACTTACCAGGTAATATAGTTATAGTATGCTAAAATATGTGAGAACCAGATTTTATAATTATGTTGAAGCACAAATTATATATTTTGAAAGCACATTACTTAGTTGACAAAGAAAAAGCATACATATTGAGTTTATTAATTTTACATAGTTCAATGGTTGTAGAGAGTATTTTTCAATATGTGTAGCCCACAGCTACTAATGCATGTGATTTGATAGCTACATTGATGGTGTAAATCAGTTTGAAGACTATCAAAAAATTTCCAATTGACATTGGCATACTTGTCAACTGAGACTGACACCAGTAAACTTTTAATGAAAATTTTAATGAAGCATATAATTAATTGAAAAATATGACATTACACAAGCATTATAAATAATTTATAGCATTTATTACGAAATTGCAAGGATATTAAAATATGAAAACTTTTCTTTTTAATTTGTTAAATCAAATTTTAATTTATAAAAAATGTACATAATTAAATAAAGTTTAAAAAAGCATCCATTTAGAATATCTTTTTATTACCTCAAAATATCAGTAATGTATTTTGAATATAATTTAAAAGCAACATATACTTTGCAAATCAGGGCAATTTGAATAGAAAATGATAGTTTGAAAAATGTACAAAATAACAAGTCATAAATCGCGATAAGCTATGCATTAACCACAATAATTCAAACAACGTTACATAATTCTTTGATTACTGTAATGCAAGATTTGCTATTCATTTTTATCAAAAATCGATGCATGATTTGGTAATTATTGCAGTGGAAAACACAATGCGTGGTCTGTACATAATCTTTAAGCATCTTAAACTGAGAATTTCAATGTATGATTCAGAAATTTCTTTAGTGAGAATCTCAATGTGTGATTAGGAAATCATTTTAATGCAAACCCTCATGAGTTTTTAATTTGATAGCATTATAAATTGCATTTATCAGAAATTACCAGATTATTTGGTATTGGAAAAAGGAAAAAATATCGGAATTTCGATAAGTCCCTTCAATTCTCTTTGAAGAATAAAACATTAATTTTCACACATTAACAAATATAAAAAAAGTTTCAAAAACCATGCACGGTTTAAAATTAGCACATGCTACATGTGGCAAAAACTAGACATGGTTTTGCTCAGTATTTTTTTTTTTTTTTTTTTTACTATTGGTTTCTCCACACCCTACTTCTATTTTGTAATACAATCACAGGAGAGGGGTAAATAAGGATATGGGTCTTTTTCTAAATTTAGATCAGACTAGTGGATTCCGGCTTAGCTGACTCAAACTATTCTTCAGAACAGAAAATGGCAAAAGAATGAGTAAATTATTTTTATGTTCGATTTAAAAGATTAACTCATTGATTTAATTTAAATATAATTCGATTAATAAAATAAGTTTAAGTAATAAAAGTCATTTTAAAAGTTAGGAAATATATAATGCCTAATGTGACATGACAGAACCCTATCACAAAATTTAAGGATTCTTTAGGGCTCTGATTTTTCCAATAAAATTCAAGGAGTTTCAAATAAATGATGGCTTTTAAAAATACAAATGTTTTCTGGTAAAGTAACATAAAAATAATTTAAAAAAGAATTTGCAAGACAAGATTAGATTTATTTAAAACATAAATACTTATTTATTTTTATACAAGATAAAAAAAAAAAACTAAGTTAAGTTCAGGTTCAAGCAAGGAAATTTTATTTCAGCCAACTATAAAAGTTATTTTCAGAAACATTTAATCACATAACAACTTTTCTGTTTTAACTATGGATGATATTTTGTATATTAAAGAGGAAATAGATCAGTTATCTGTCCTAAAAAGTCTAACAAAATAAACACACAAACACTTGTATTTTAAAATTTTCTCTTAGAATTTTTTTTATAAATATCCTTACAAAATTACTATGAATTTTTTTACCTTTTTATGTTATTTCATTTCTTGCTTTAAATTACCCAATAATTTCTTTATGACAATGCAGAACTTTTTACATTAATAGAATATAAAATTAAAAGAAATTATAGATTAAGCGATATGTCTACTGTTACATTTAGATTTTGTTACTAAACAAAAAGACAAAACATTAGAATGAAATATTAGAAGTTCTTTTCTTTTTTTTTTTGGTGATTGAGTTTGGTTGTTTAAATATGAAAGAATTAATTCATAGTTGAACAAAAAATAATTTCGATTATCAGTTCTTCTTTGGGATGAAGCTATGCTAAGAGTTATGTTGAGAATCCATAAATGAGAAAAATACATTGCTCAATGATTGTATTTATCCGTCACTAAATTTATAGAGATATTTTTCTCATGTGAAGCTCAAATAAATTTATAAAAATAAAAAATCATTGATGCTACAAGAATAAACTATATCACTCATAACACTAATTTAAAAGAACACACCGAGAAGAGAAAAACACATAAAAGTCTCAAACATAGACCAAATAATACTAACCAAATCTAGAACAAGAGTAAATTCAGGGCTACTTCGAGTTTTCAGAGGCAAAGCTGGCCCTCTGGCTCTCATCTCTGATGTTAGAGGGGGTAAATGTTTAATGAAAAAGTAACTGAAAAGAAATATTAAAAAATCCAAATGCATAAAATGTGTATATCAAATTTTAAAATAAAAAACAAAACAAAAAAAAACATTATGAATGAAATACAAACATATTTAGAGTTTCACTTTCCAAGTTACTTCAAAATGTCTTAATTGGATTCATTTTAGGCTAAGAATTAATCTGATATTCAATATACTGATAAAAAGTGTAATTTGTTTTAACATTTCAGAACTCAATACTTTCAATTAAAGTATTTCATTATTTTTGAATGCAACTAAACATTCAGCATAACAATCCTTCGGCATAACAATCACTATCTTAAAAATTATCAGATTACTAAACTGTTAATTTGACTAAAATCATTTTAAAGAAAATGTACAGAGATTACTCAAATTTTGGGAAAAATTAATCTGTCATGTAAGATTTGGTTTTATCTTCTAAAAATAGTATATAATTATATGATCCTGAATTTATTCTTATATAATTGTATAAAATTTCACGATTTATAAGTTTTTCCTCTTTTTATTATTATTCACAAGTCCTAAAAATTCTGAAACAACTCACATAAAATAGACAAGATTGTTCAATCTCATTTGAAGAGTTTGTGAATTATTTCCAAGATAAATATAAAATTTTTGCAATTTTAGAAGAGTTAATTAAGTCTTTTAATGGAATCTTGAGAAAATTGAGGAATTCCATGTAAAAGTAGCACATCTATGTAGTTTATGACAGACGGAGACACAATCCATTGGCACACATAGGTTTCAAAGAATTGAACAATAAAGAAAATACTTTTCAAACTAAAAAACTAAATAAATAAATAAAATAAAATAAGAAAATATTTTTATTTTCTAATTTAACAATTTCTTAAATTTTAAAAATTCCATAGCAAAAATATTAATAATCTTGCAATGCCTTTTCTATGGATTTTCTGGTGTTTCTTGATTTTCATCTGTTACAGAAGAAATTAATAACGAAAAAATTGAATTAGATACTAAAAGGAAGAAAGTAAATACTGAATTTTGTGGTTTATTTCCTATGTCGCAAATGTCATAAATCTTTTAATTTCTAAATTATGCTTTTTAGTTGCCATTTTGATTTTCAGTAGAACCCTGATTATTTGATGTCTGATCTTGCCACACTTCAGTTAACTAACACCTTTCTCATAGAGCATGAAAGAGTTTTTGACAAATGTTTCATTATTATTACAGTTCGTGTAATACAACTACTATTGTGAAGACAAATCCAAAATATAACTGCTAAAAAGAACAATTATACAAATAAATAAAATTGCATAAATTTTTGATCTTTTATATTAGAAAAAAAATAAAATAAATAATTTCTTTATAAAAATCTTGAATGTTGCTATTTTTTTTATAGGTAATTTACCGTTAGTTCCAAGTTTATACATTGAAACATCATTTTGAAATTTACAAAGGTTGCTGACGATTTTGGCTGCTTGATATATTCCTGGTACCAAGAGTTTCTGTTAATCAGGGTTCTACTGTAATGCTCTTTATTTAAAAACACTATCTACGAAATAATATTAATAAAATTATATTTAAAGGAAATCAATTCTTATGATGAAAAAAAACTTAGGGAAAATAACCATGCATCATTATAATAATAATTTTTAACAGGATATTCCATCTGGCTTTGTAAAGTACTCCCTGAAATTAAGACATACTGCTTCTCCATATTTATAAATATGTTAACAAGTCAACTTATTCAACACATTTTTTGAATGTGATGAAGAATCGCAGATTAAAAATTATTATTAGCTTATAAAAGCTTAGGTTAATGGCAGAAAATAGACTTTTTCAAAAAGCATTAATGAAATTGAATTTATTTAATAGCATTATTTTAGAGGAAAAAAATTATTATACTCACGGATCAAATGTGTTATCCCAATCTTCAGCCACTTCTGCTTCTTCAGCAGTTGGAAATTCAGCTGCATATGGTAATGTGGAGTTACAAATCAGCTTTTGATTTGCATCAGATTGAATATTTGCAGTATTTCCAGCTGTTTCTTCTGTTAAAATATATATATATAAGTATACATATATTTTTAATGAGAAATATATATTGAAAGCAGCCCAAATGCTTTTTTCTAAATATGCACCATAAATATATTCAAGCAAGGCATAAATATATTTAAGCAAGACAGATCAATATATGAAATATTCCTGATTATGGAGTAATTGATTTTTAAGTTATTCGAAAAATTTAGATTACTGGAAATTATCTTTCTTCACATTCACCAAGCTGCTAATGACTATTTTATTATAGATCATAAAGTACTTATAGTCTAATATTGAGACTATACGAACTGCTATAAACAAGACTCATCTCAATGGAAACTTCTTTAACCTTTACCAGTAAGAATTAATAATGAAAAATTGTGCACGAAATAACCATTAAATAATATTTTTTTTTTAAAAAAAAGTCTTAAATAATAAGGGACCATAATTTTCTTGGTTACACATAAAAACACGTTGTATAATAGATTTAATGAAAATTTTTACACCATGTTAATCTTGCATATTTTTTTTCTAGATATATATAAACTTAAGAGTTTATCAAAAATCATATGATTAGTTTTTAGAAAAAATAATAACTTAAAAATAATTAAAATTTAATATATTTCTTTCTTTTAATTTTACAAGTTATTTTTTCAGAACTACTTATTATTAAGTCCACTAAGTAATTAATGCATACTTTATCTGATAACTTTTTCATTTGCTCAATTGAACAATAAAAAGCTATATAAGTAGTAGTACCCCTATGTATTTAAACCCCAAGGTTCTTTTTTTTGTATAATTTACTTGCTGTTCTATACCTGACCTGCTTCTTTCTTAAGTTTGCCGAAATAACTTGAACCATCTCATACTGATATAGAAAGCCAACATAAAATATAAATTAAGACATAACAATTGCAAACATTGAGAACTTAATTTAGTTACTATAAAGAAATTGGATCATGGTGTAGCGAAAAAGCATCATACTTCAACACCTGGCTTATAGGCTATGTACAACAAGAGCAATTTTATTTCCCCAACTTGCATTGACAATTTGATGAAAATATGTCAATGAGAATCAATTAAACTGGAAGTATACATTTAAAATATATATATATATGCGTGTGTATATAGATAGTATAAAACCACTGAATAGCATATTACAATTTGTTTCAATCACAATTTTCTTCAAATGTGATAAAACTTTTGTTTGTTAAGCAATGTTGTTAGGATTGTTAAGACATAATTGAAAACTCTTAAACTTTCTAAGAAGTAGATATAAACAATTACATTTTATTGATTAAAATTCAGTTTGGATAATATTTATAAATATTAAAAAAATATAATTTGAAAACCTTTGATATATTCATCACAAGAAACAAAATATACTTACCATCCAAGAGACAATAAATAGGGGAAAAAAGGACTCCATTTGGATCAGCAAGTTCACAAACAGGTATGTCTAAGAAATAAAATTAAAGTAGAAGATTAAATGCTTTACTATAACTGCCTAATTCAAACATAATTAAATATATTTAAAATGACCAATTAAATTTGAAAAAAACAATACAACTTACATACCAGTTTCTGTAGAATTAGTCACGGCTTTTGCTTTATATTTCTCAAATGTAACTTCAGATTTGCAGTATTCTTTAGATTGCTTTTCTGAGGCCTGAATACAGAAATGAAAAATATAAATTCAGCTGCATATGCACAACAAATAATAAAAAAAGTACACAACATATGTAAAAAAAAAACTTACTTCTTTTCTTCTAAATATTTAAACCAGGTGGAATAAAAACGTAAAGCATTTAAGGTAATTTATATTATGTCAGTTCTGTTTCTTTACTGAGTTCCTTCAAGAGGCAAATTAAGAAAAAGTCTTGCTCACTTTGCAACACAAATTCATCTTTTTGAGTGGGCATTAACAAAATAACAGCATTAAATTTATTCTGTGTAACATTTGGGGGATTCTTAAATAATTCAAGTATTCTCAAATTACACAACATCATATTTCAGTTTTCTCTACTTTTTATGCGTTCTTTTTACAGCAAATACACTTTTTAACTTGAATGCATAATATTTATTTTTTATCTTAAGTATGAAACAATTCTACATTGCCTAACTCTAAGTGCTAAGTGGATATTTAGGCCATGAGATTTTAGTGCAGTCAGAGTTGGTTGGTTAAGACCAAAGTGGTTTCAGAAAATCATATTTTGGAAAGTTTTTCTTAAGTAGTAATAAAATTTATGCTTCATAATTTTTGATCCTTGGTAAGTAATTCGATACAAGGTGATTTTACCCATCATGACATAAAGATATTCAAACATATATTAGAATTGTCCCTTGTTCTAGTTATATTGTACTAAAGCTTTCTTAGTATTTTCAGATTCATTATTAGATTCTTTTGCAAAAAGAATTGCAAATGATATTCCTGTGCTTTAAACCCAAAATTTTTTTCTTTTAAAAATTTTTCAATAATTAAATTTTTGATTATTAATCTAAAAACACTTTTTAGTTTAATTATAAAAAAAAGAGAAATTAGAAAGTTTTTTTTTTCTTTTAAAAATTGTTTCCACAACTAATATTAGTCTGCGCTACTTATCATTGCCCTTCTGCAAAAATGTATATAAAATAAATTAAAAGTATTTTATTTTTAAATTATCAGTACTAAAGCATATCTTAACTTCATTCTTTTATATACATATATACAGATACACTTACATCCATTTTAATTCTTCATTTGATTATTATCAAGTATTTTTTAATTCCAAAGTAACCTTAATTTTTTTATGTTCTCCTTGAAATTTGTACTGATTCAATTAAAAAAATTCAAAATATTTATTTCAATAAGTAAATTTATACTTATGTTATATATGGGGTACTACTAAATACCCCATAGTGAAACTCACTCTTTTACATGGATTTATTGTTTCTAGATATTTTTTTTAGAGATTTTTACATTTCTTAAGGAAAATATAAATAAATAGTTGAGAGTGCGTTTACAAGATACTTTTTAATGCTTCAAATTAATAATTAATTTTTATGTGGGACATAAAATACTAACTCACCTTTTTGTTTTAAATGAACCAAAAATATTTCGATTTATATTTTAACAAAATTTTGTAACAATTCTAACTATTTAGTTCAACAATTATTCTTCAAAACTATTCTTTTTAATTCTGAAATTTCTTCAGAATTAAAAAATAGAAATTTCCCTTTAGATGAGAAATTTTTTGAGGTAAGTTTAATTTTGTAATGAATTTAAAAAAGCTATTTTCAATCAAGCAATTTTCTTGCAAATATAAATATAAAGTGGAAACGTTTATAAATTTAAATTTTAAGTTTTGAAATGCTAAGTTAGCAACACTATGTGTTTTTTATTTTATCCCTCAGTGTAATTGTTTTTAAAATAGTTTTCAGAACTCTGAGACATAGTAAAGCTTTTTATTTTATCTTGTAATTATATTTTATTCAAAATCATGTATAAAACGTTAAGGTGTTTCTTTTAAAGATGGAGAATTAACATTCTAAAGCAAAACTACTATTTCTTGGACTCGTTCATAAAGTAATTGCTGATAATAATTAACTCAAATTCAACAGAACACTTCATTCCAGTTACTTTAGCAATGAATTTTGATAACAATAATGCTTTAGTTATCATGAAATAAGTTTGGTTATTTACAATTTTTTTCACATTTTATTTATATTTAGAAGCATTTCAAATTGTCTCTCAATGCATGCAATATTATTATTATATCAAAAAGTAATACCAAAACAATACAACTTATCAAATACCATTGCTTGCATTATTTTGCAATTTTCAACATAATTTACAAACAGTACACATGTTAACTTCATGTAGTGTACAACAAATTATTAAAGAATATGGAGTCGAAGAACTTAACTTACAATCAATTCATCTGCTGAATTTATTCGGTTTGATCTTCGTCTTTTGTTTCTATTAAGAGGTACAGTCTATAATAGAATTAAAAAATTCTTTAGAGATAAACAATTAGTAGAAACTTTAGTACAAACTTTAGAGATAACAATTTAATTTAATACCTAAATTGAAATTACATTCATATTACCTAATACACATAAAATTAAAATGATGAGTAGAACAAATTTTATAAAATTCATAACTTAACAATTTTATTAACAAAATTATAAAATTCATCTAATTTAAGAAAAGCATTTTAATATTAGAATGTTACTAACAGAAATGAAAATAAGTAAAATAGTGAGCTCAACCATCCATTGAAATCCCCGATGAATAAGTAATGACATGAAAATACTTTCCTATAAAATAATATTTTTGAACAGGTGAAAGAGAAAAAATTTAATCACTTAAAAGCAATTTTTTAATTTGTTTTATTTTTAGATTATGAATATATATTTATAAAACTATTCAACTGAATTTTATTTGGTTATAGAAGAGACATTTCAAATGTTCCAGTTATGAAAAAATGATAATTAATTTAGATTCTTGATTTTATTTAAACTATGTAGCTATTGTAATAACGATAGTAAAACCAGTGTACCTTTGAATATGCTTTAAGATATAACATAAACACAATTTTTGATAATTTCTATATATTTTGATAGAAAGGAATGCGTTTTTATCTGTTGAAATATTTTAAAAACAGAAAATTTTATAATTATATTTCGTTTAATTTAGTTATTTCAAAAATTTGCGTCATATAGCTGACAAAAAAAATATCTAGATTACTTTTAAGTAATAATATATTTATTCATAGGAACAGAATTTTGGTACTAAATTCTATACACGGTTAAATTATTTGCTCATATTTTGTCGCTCAGCATTTAAAATATTTTTATACTTGGAAAACAATCTTTTGCTATGTCGGGATAAAGTTCTGTGCAATATTTCTAAAACTAGATAAATATCTTTACTAAAGCATTTTAAACAACTTCTGCACAAATTGTAGCACTTAAAAAAATTATGAATTTCAAATAAAAATAATAATAGGAAGAAATAATCATAGAGTTTTTTTGGTGTAACAAACCTACAACCCCTATAATAGGAAATGATGTGTCATACCTGTCTTCTATTCATTGTGATTCAATATTGATTTTTTAAATATATTAAGTTTACGATATTTTTTGCAGAATAAATCTGTAGTACACATTTTTATTTTATTTCAGTGTCTAAAATAGAATGTTTGTTAGCACTAATATCAGGGATGAGAGTAGTCAGAAAGTGAAA